GACCGAACCTGACACCCTGACGTTCTAACAGCCGTTCGCCCTGCAGCCGGGCCTGTCCTGCAGCCGTTTTGGGTTGTTTGAGACTTCCAGATCCACAGTTGACAGATTTCCTGGAATGTTTTGGATAAAGCTGCTCGGCTGATTCTTGCCCTCAGGTTGCAGACGTGCGTCAGACGAGTTGCTTGGGAAAACATCGCATGCACGTCCACATCATGCACGTCATGCAGGTTCCCAAGTTTCCAGACTAACGTTTGAGGATTGAAGAGCTTGGAATATCAAGCGTTGGTTTGGGAACGGGTGAGTTCTAGTGAGTTCTAGTTGGTTTGTTTTGATTCATTTACTCTTTCTGTGAGTTCTAGTGAGTATTTTGACTCTAGACTCAAGTGTTTCAGTGTTGGGGCACGCGACCAGCAGTGCTTTCACAAGCGCTCACTGACTGTTACCCATGGTAGGTTAACCGCCCCTTGGGTGAAACAAATGGATTATACTGGCTTTCCTCTCCAGACCATAGACTACCAAGCACCTTGTCCACGTTCAGAAACACTCTTTGTTCTTCTGGACACAGAGAGACGACTGTGTCCAGCAGGTTGGCGTTGCTGCTTCCGCAGGGCCTGGCTTTGCGTGAGATCATGCGGGATTTTGCCCCGACCAAGGAGCAGGCCCAGTCGTCGTGCACAAGTCGGTCCAGACCAAGCAGAATATAGCAGCTAGCACGTGCTAGCCAGTGTTCTCTTGGGGGGCTGTATAGTTGTTTGAGTAGTTGTTTGATATTGTTTGGATCCACGAGCTGTACGGAGAATCATGTTCATCGTCCCCGCTCCGTTTGGATCGCCGCAGCGGAGCGGCCTAGCGCATGGCTCCGCATGGCTCCGCGCAGGTGGAAAAGATCAGCAAGTCCAAGACCCGATGTGTGATGCCCATGGCGAATTCGGGACATGGCTTTGTTTGTGAACAAGATTTGGAAGGCGACATGTCCAGAGTCCAGACTTGTCGATTTTTGTCTTCCGTGGTTTCATGTGGTTTGCCGCGATGCTGCCATTGGCGCCCATCACGCGACGGCGTCGGAGGGCGTTGCTTCGTTCGCCCCGTCTTGGCTCGGGTCAGAGGCAGTTCAATGGTCCGCTGTCTTCGTTGTGGACAACTCTTTGGAAGCCAGATTGATCCCATGCAGGACGACCCTGCAGCTGGCCCTCAAAAGAAAAGGGTGACAGAATGCTGATGAGATGTGGCAAAGATAGTGGGTCTGAGAGGATCCATGACTTTTGGAGATCATATCACATCAACTAACCAACCAAGCAACCAAGTGGTCATGGGGTCCAGCTTGTTCCATGCTGCAAGAATTGTCGAGTAGATTTGCTTCTTTTGTTTGCACATATGTTCGCACCATGCAGCACCTGCAGGAGTGCACAATCAAGACACAGCCTTATAAGTGGCTCTTCCGGATGGTCTCAAGCGTCAAGGTCAAGGCATTCCTGGCGTCCAACCGCGGGCGCGTTCCGGGAAAAGACGGGGGGCCAAAGGAGAACACAGGCGGAAGGACGAGGGTCAAATGGTTGTAATGTGAGGCCTAGGGCCCACCACCTCCAGAAGGCATATATGAATAGCAGGTCCAGCCAGTTTGAGAGTGGAACCTTCCCCCAGTTCTTCATGAGCAGGGATCCCCAAAACTGAATCTCTTCATCAGACGGGTGGGCCAAATTAATTAGGGGGCTATTGACGTCGAATTGCTCCAGTAGGTCAGCAGCGCTTTGCAAAGAACGCTGCCAACGCGATAAGAAGCGTGCTCATACGCCAGCGGTTTGCAGAAGAAGACTGGCAGTGTGGTAGATTCCCTCCTTGAGGTATGTCCAGGAGAGGGGGAGAGAGAGAGAGAGAGAGAGAGGGAGAAAGAGAAACACTCAAAGCACGACTAGCTAGCTGCTAGTTGACCTTTGCTTCGGACCGTATATGCCACCACCAATGGCCAGACATTTGAAATGCCCGTCTCTGAAAACTTGGGATGGGGCCAAAATCTGCAGGTTTCTTCAGGAACGGCCCTTTCAACCAACTAACTATGCACTTTGCTTCACCTCCCGAGTGCCGACCTGTGAAAACCCGCGAGGTGCCGAGATCCTGGTCCACCCGGACCTGTCGGCGATTGATGCTGCAGGTTCCTCGTTGGCTGGGCAGCCTCTCAGAACTGCCGTGCATCAAAAAGGACTCTGGGCGAGGCTATAAGCGCTGGTGCCTCCTGCCACAATCTGCAGATGGACGTTTGGTGGAGGCTGGGCTGACAAAGAACGAGAGTGAGCTTCCAGAAGGAAGGCAACGACAGTATGCCCAATGGGTGTGCAACCTCTAATAATAATTAATTATAATCCGGTTCGCCCTGACAGCTGGAGAATCTGGCCAGAACATGCCTGCTGAGGTGCTCAATGCAGAGATCTCAGAGGTGGATCTGGACTCCATGCAATACTCGGCCCCCTATCTCAATACAGAGCTCCAACCCAGAGCTTTGGTGGGGGGCGTGAGCATGTGTCAGCCACCCGCCGTCCTTCTTCGGGCGAGGCGTTGGAGAGACGTTGGGTTTGTGGTGGTCCATCTGCTTTGCTCCAAAGAAGCCTCAGACAGAGTTCCAGGCCTTGATGAGATTTGTAGATATTTGTGCCCTGCCCATGTGATAGTAATGAACCCAATCATAAGGTGACTGCCTCCATCACACCTTGGCTGGTTCATGGAGGCCACATTTACCACCCCTGTCAACCCAGGAAAGAAATGAAAGATTGAAATTGAACACATATAAACCTCCGGGGGATGATGAGGCTTTCCCATTGCAAATCGCCAGGTGAGAAATGTTGATGAACCCTTTTTGTTCCACAGCAGAGACTCGGGGAGTCAGCAGGGTTCATCGGCTCATGGCCCAGGCAGTGGAAGACTGAGGGGCACCAGATCGAAGTTCAGCATGTTTTTCAACATCCGATGGAGGTCACGTGTTCGTCATCCTTTAAGAACACTGGTGGTTAGGCTTGAGTGTGTTGCGCGGCAACGAGTCTGGCGCCGGAGGGACAAAAATCTCGGCGAGGAGCCCATCCGCTCCTCACACATCGATCGCACGGGGTTCGCGAAGACGCGCGTGCATGTGATTTGAGGGTCAAAGTCGCCCTGGCGCCGTCACTTTCTGGAGTTGTGCTTGTTTTTGGTCAGTGAAGATGAAGACCCCAGAAGATGGTTTGCATGCAGTTTGCTTTTTGGTGCATATTGGGGCGCGAAGGGATCTGAAGGGCATCCGGGGTATAAAGATGGGAGTCGTATGTTTTGCTTTTTGTTTCCATTGGAGAGTGGCAGTTTCATGCGCTCTCCTGTTTTCCTAAAACCTATCAACACCAGTAACCGGTTCTCAGATGTATGACCCGTTTGCCAGCACAAGGGCCAAACAGGTGAGCATCCTTCTGAGTGGAACTTTCGAGAACTCCCAGGAGGATAGCTCATGTTGGCTACACATTTTAATCAGGAGGGATCGTGGATCCTAGAATTTCAGGCTCTTGGCTTTCTTGAGTTGATACAATGAATGGCTGTTTATAACCTTATTATAATAGATGCAATGATGCTTACATCACATAGCTTGTGGAAGTCTCACGTTTAGCGAAATCGCTGTCACACAGGGGTGCTGCTGAACCAACCTTGGCACCACTTGAGATCTAATGACATCCTATGACATCCTAATTACTATCATAATAACGATGTTTCCCCTGATCGGGAGGGTGAAGAGTTGCATATCTGATCATCCAGAACTTGCAGCTGGATGCTTCTAGAACTGCCTCCTCTTCCAAACCACAGGCCGTCTGACAGCCCGGTTTCGGGTTCCAAGGCCCAAGACAGCGCTGTCCGAGACGCGGCCGACCCGGCCACTGGGCAGTGCGGGCACCCGGAGGACACCGGAGGACACGATCGGAAGCTGTGTAGGTTTCACTTAGACTAAGGTGTTCCTTTCTTTGAAGATCACCCCAATGTGAACTAGAAGATGGTCCGTGTTTGTTTGTTTGTTTGATTTTGGGGGGTGTGGGGGGGGGGCAAAAGGCGACATGTGCAATGCCCTGTGTCAGTGGAGGCCTTGGCCGCTACATGCAGTACTTGATTAGGACACCATTCGGAGGCCAAAAGCCACTGGACCATCAATGATGTATAGTCATCCTGGACTAGATAGAATATGGACAAAACAAGACGGACACTGGTCATGTGTGTAGATTGGTTCATGACATGTTCTATTCCAGGTTGGCTATAATTAAACATACATACTCGTACTATGAAACCATTTGGGGGGCTTTTTGTGTCCTGCAAAAAAGCAAATTAGTGCCCTGGACGCTGATCTTCTTACTTGGTTCGGGTCCTTAATCTTGAATTCCTTCCCAAGACGTACAGTATATATTTAGGTTGACACAGTTTGTGTGGGGCAAGTTTGGCGGTCCGAGCCTAGTGTTAGAGCAAGGCTGAAATGTTTACTCGTGGAATTCCATGTCGAAACCACATGCGAGCAATGTCATGTGACTTCCTGAAAGCACTGGGATACTTGTACTTCCGCCAGTTGTCAGTACTGCTTGTGCTGGCCCTTGGCGGGTTGAAGATGGTTGAAGGGTACTTGCTCCGGCCGAAGTCCTGATCATTTGCTCCATTCAGGGACAGCATGACACTTAGGCTCAAAAAGCTCTTGTATTGTTTTCACTGATCACCAGAAAGATCACCCGGCCAGAAGCCCGCACTTGGAAGAGCATGATGCTACTCCCACGTCCGAAATCTTTCGCAAGCATTTGGTCTTACATGTTTTATTCAACAGATGCTGTCACACGCTTGCCTTGGTGCCGTAGGTGCCAGCTGCTAGACAGCTGCTAGTGCGCACCCTGCCCCAGTCCAACAACGTTTGCAAACAGTTACTAGGAGTCAAGTTCCACTGAGGCTTTCACAATTGATCATCGACGTACCCCATGTGCAACTAGGTCCGAACTCGCCGAACTGCTTGCGCTTCCATGGGTCATGGCCTGTTGCATCACATCGATGCGGGGACGAAGTGGCTCGTGTCGGGCGCTGTGTTTGGCGTGCTGTTGTGGCGGCAGGATAGTGCCACTCGGCCTTTGGCAGATTGGAGACGCAGCCAACCGGCACATGTTGTGTTCAGAAGCTGCAATGTCCCATTCGATCAGGTATAGGTGATAGTTAAGAGCCATTGTCATGGATGTGGGAAAACCAGGGAAGCTTTCCCAGTAGATTGGCTCACCTGGCCAGTTCACGCACCCAACTGGAAATCTTGCTGGTGTGTGTTCGCTGACCAATCTATCGCCCTGAGTTTGCACACCGCTGACCTTGTTGCAGGAAGTAAGGCCAGTGCCAACCTTTGGTCAATCGCTCGTCCGCGACGGGCACCGGTCACGACTTAGTTCACTTCGACAAGTCAAGGGCTATATATTTTGCATGGGCCCCCACCACAAGGCCCCCGTGAAACAATTACGGATTTGATCGGATTTGGTTGGCAACCAGGGTTTCTTGCACTAACTGGACTTGCAGGGTATGGCTATGACACAGTATGCCACTGTTGAAGGTTGCCTAAGGTGGCCATGGTAGGAACATCTAGGAACTGATTGTTGAGTGGTCTTCTTCTGCCCCCGATTGTTACTAGCTGCTTCATAGGCCATTTGCTGGTGCGTCCTTGGCTCCGTTGGTGCCGCGGCGAACTGTAAATGCTTGAAGGCGTGGCCTGCGGAGGAGCAATGGAATGAACCTCCGTCAACCTCCTGCGTCTAGAAGAAAAACGAATTGTTTGGTTTACGGTGCCTGTGGCTAGATCGGAATCTCAACTGCTTCTAACCTGCGACGTGTTCACTTGTATTCCAGCCATGGGCACAGACACTTTGCAGAACGAAGCAGAAGTGAAGTGTCAGTGGAAGTTGTTTGGGCCCATACTAGTAGGATTTGAGAAACTCCGGTGGATTCGCGCAGAGACATGCAGTGGTGGTGTGAATCATGGTGCCTTCATGTACTCCTGGCCGCAGGTCCAAGCACAAGGAATCCCCTGCGCAAAGACGAAGACCGAAGGGGGTCCAAAATTGGCGTGAAAGGGATCAAAGGGGTGGCAGGGTTTTGGATACCAGCGAAACATGCGGCACTCTCAACCTCCAAAAGCCAGCCCTTGAGAGTAGCAGGGTTTTGATGTTCCTGCTTTTCCAGTCTTTTCCTGGCAGGTCCTCATCAACCAGTCGCGGCCACGGGGGGCACGAAAGGTGGACCCTGGCAGCTCTGAGACAATAGACGAAGGACCTGAGACTTTCAACAGACAGATGCAGTCCTGGGAATTTCCTTGTTGCAGGATGTTTCAGGATCTTCGAGTTGTGTTTCACGTCATGCGAAAACGGTTGATTCAACCAGAAAGATGAGATGTATTGCAGAGCGTTGATACGCGCCCCCCGGGTCAATCCTGGTCACTATATGATTGTTCCCTGTTGGAATGGCGACTATAGGACTTTGGAGGGGTCACAAAACCATGCAGACGAGGACTTGCATGAACGATGCATGCTGTAGCAGGTGGCAACCGGGCTGGGCACCTCCGCTTCGGCACCATCATCCATGCGAGTGGGTCTCCGTTCCACCTCCTGTCGGTCGTCCCACCGAGGCATGCCATCGTCTCATGCACAAAGCCTAGGACAGGCGATGGATGCTCGTGTCCCTGGGCGGGGTGTGTTAGTTCATTCATGGTACCTTGGTGATGTCACTGGTCCACAAGCACAGGCTGTGGCCGGGGTTGTGGAATTTCATTGAGTGCTGAGCTTGGAACCCCAATCTTGGAAGGTTCGCGTTATTTCGCGTTTGATATTGGATGAACAGTTTGACTTCAGCTGCAGGCTTCCAACAGGTCCTGCCCACAACCATCCACAACCTTGATCTCTTCAAAGATCTCCATTTCAGAGACGATTTTTGTCAGGTGCCAAACTTCAAGTTCCTTGGTTGATTTGACATGTCCTCCAACTTGTCCAGGATTCCTCTCCATTTACTTCGCCCTGGATGTGGCTTTCCCATTCTCCGGCCCCGCGCAGCGCGTACCGACCGACTCCGGGCGGGCCGCCTGGGCGGGCATGTTGGTCGCTGGCGGGCTCTTCGGCTCCTGGTTGCGCGTCGCCATGGGATTCCACACTACGGCACAGGTGGCCGTCGGTGGCTTGGCGACGATCAGAGCTGGCATTCTGTGCGAAGACCAGATCCGTGAAGCAAATGGTTACATAGTTAACACTTTCAGCCGCTCTTCCTTGGAGCATGGCTAAGTGTTCTGCAAGTTTGTCTCATGGTGAATGAGAAGTAATTAGGGGCTCCAAACTATGTCATGGGGAGAGTTGCATGGACCAGGTGATACAAATCTTTGGTGCATACAATCCAAGAAAGGCAGTTCATACTACAGTCTACCGGATACTTGACCAGACCTGATCACAAATATATATATATATATGTATTGTAACTATATGACTTATTGTAGGCGATCTGAAAACAGGGGACCTTCATTGATACCATCTGGTGCAGTGGACGGACAGACCAGCTGATGCTGGGGGCAAGCCCGGTAGAGTGTTGGCAGAGCCAATGACTTATACGTATACGAATGGCCAGGGATCACCCGAAGGCACGAGCCAAGATGACCTGAAATCTAATTCAAACGGAGAGGGGAGAGTAAGTTTTCAGATTGGGGATATGGGTCGTCATTGCCAGCTAACTAAAGGTGATGAAAGGGGTTTTAACTACAAGCTTCTTAGGCAATGAACATACATAATAAGGGCATACAACTTGAAGCCTGGGTAGCTTCTTTGAAGAGACCAGACATGGTTGTGTACGGGGGTTCTTAGGCTCTCGCACACTACGACCGAGAGAAACTGCAAGGCCCATCGATTGACCCAGCCCCATTTGCTGCTCGCACCACGGTAGTGGCTTTGTACCTTTGAATTTGAGAGGCTCAAGTATTGAGCCCCTTCGGTGTGGCCGCTACTGAAATAATGCCATGGGCTTCCCGACCATGGTTTCATATCTTGCCGCTTGGGAGCTATTGGTCAAGGGGGATTGTTGCATACTTCGGGCGAGCACATTGGTACATTTGATGCTGCACCCCTTACTGTCTACGTGCCCTCCCAAACATATGGTATAGACTATTATAGACGTATGGACGTATAGACCTTACAGGGCCCATTGTCCCATAGACGCCGAAGGAATTTGGCAAAAATGGCGCAAGTGAATTGGGCGTTCCACACCCAAGACTAAGCTAAGCTCAAGTGAATGAGCTTGAGACCAACCACTCCAAAGCAGTATCACACGATCACTGGCGCCCTTATTAAGAAAGCATTGTGCGACCATGCGGCGACGCTGCACAGGTAAAACAGGCTCAAACAACATTCCATTGAACACCCCTCCTGTACTCTGATGTTTGTCCTTGGTGGGGTCTATGTCAGCATAACAGTATATTTGTCCCCTCTCTCTCTCTCTCTCGCTCTCCTCCTTCTCTCATTCTCTCCATGCAGATGTTCTACACAGACAGGCCGATGGAAGCCCTGTTGTACCTGTATATCGCACTCATCCATGAGATCAGAGCCCAATGGTGGATGTGCTCAGTAGTCCGGAGAGATATGATACTTGCAGCCGGCAACCCGAACCAAACGAGAGAGAGAGAGAGAACTTCTTGCAGACGTGATTTGGAAGATTTTTAGCCAACAGAAACACTTCATTGGAGGCCCGTAAGTTATGTAAGTTTCCACATGTTTGGGAGATGGTTTAACTACCTAGAACAGATCTAAAGTGAAATGTCAAGACATCAAGACAACCTTTTCATCTTCAAAGCAATGGTCAAATGGGTTCTAGTTACCATGGGTTCTTTTGGGGGGACGCCGCTGCCTACCTTCCAGCAAGCCTAGGCTGGGCCTGGGGATCCGCTTCGTCTCCAGTGAAGGCACTTGGCCGTTTGGGCATTGTGAGACGTCGGCATGTCAGGAGCTTCCACCCGAGGAGCTGCAAGATGTGGATCCCAGCTTTCTGCAGGTGACCGCATACATGGGCACGCCATTTGCGTATCATAGCAACGCCCTTCCCTTGTCCAGCGGGTCTCTTAGCACAAGCCACAAACTGATGGAGGTGAACAAACGAAAGCCTCGAAACTCAAAGGTTGCAGCGCCTGACCTCCATGAGCCCGTTGGATTGAATGGGCTGGGGCGCTTCAGCAGGAACCTTGCCATTGGCATTTTGCTGTGCCTTTCGCTGCTTTTCATCTACTTTTGCGGTGCTGGGCTGCCTGAGAAACCACCGCAGGATCCAAGCACAAGGCTTGGCTGTCCGCTCAGCTGGCTGGTTTTCATGGGAGTCGTCTACACCTTGACCTTCTTCACTACGGATCAGTCTCTTGCACATGACAAAGTGCCTATCTTTATCGGAAGTTCCCCAGAAGTCCATACCAGCAGCCTAGGATACATAGTTGTTCAACCCTGAGGCTTCCGTCGGTGAAGGAACCTGGCATGGTCCTGTGCCATACCCTTTCATGAAAGATGGGGCTGCTTGTTTGCGATACTATCAACAGCTTTCCGCACTTCACCAGAATGTGGGGAGAATATCCCCAAGCATTTTGCGCCTCATGGATCATGCCACCCCAAATCTGCAGCTCCAAGGTATGCATCTTGCCTTCCCCGAATGGAGATTGACCTCCATGGATCTCAGGCGCTGATGAGTGCCACAATACAGATGAACTTTGTGGTGAAAGGTCTGTCGGGCCTCGTGGCCGCGAGCTTATCAGAAACTTGGCACAAAAAAAGAAAAAGATGTAACGTGCCAATTTTCAGTTTATAGTCTATAGTATTAGCATGTATTAGCTTTTCTTTTTGTCTTTGGATCTCTCCTATTTCAATGCATCCCAAATCTTGTGTTTTGCCATCGTGAGTCGGGCACCCAAGATGGAATCCCGTTTGATGGCACGTCCCTGAAAGATGTTCCAACCACCTCCAAAAAAGTACTCAGTTGTTCCCATGTTGTTCCCATGTTGCAACAGCAGATGCATGAGTTTCACTGTACGAATTGGCCGTACGTGTTATTACGTGTTCCACGCCCCAGGATCGCATTGGCCGTCGGCCAGTGCTCCTGACCTGCCTTTTGCTGCTCTCTTTAGCTTCCCTCTGTTGCTTCAGTGCGGATACGATCGAGTGCTTCATCGCTGCGCGGATCCTGCAGGGCATGGGCGAGTCTGCTGAGGCGGTGGTCTTTGCCATGGTCCGTGGCCCGGCCGCATCGGTGATGGGCACGCCGTGGGGTGGCAGTGGGCCGTGGGAGGCACAGTTGCGCCTGTTTGGGAGGTAGAAGAGGTGCCCCGCCCAAGAAAGGACAGATGGCGGAGGTCTGTTTGTGTCCGGTATTTGACACCCAGATGAAGATGAATTGATATCAACTGGTACTACGGCGGCTGAACATTTGTCCGACACATTCATGGCAGGTTTGATGGCTCAGACTCTTTTCCACTTGGGCAGGTTTGTTCCAGGTCTGGGCACGGAACCCCAAGCGCTTAAGACCAACTGGACAGAGCCAGGCCTTCATGACTTGGGCTCGAGTTCGATCTAATCTATACAGTATATTTCGATAACAACTCCCTTAGCAGCCTTGTTAGTTGGGCAAATGCTCTACATATATAACAATTAGTCTAAACTCTAGACCTGGCTCCTGGTAGAACATTCGTCGCATTCTCGCATGCCTGCCCATGAAGATTGAGTGACTTTACACAAGCATGAGTGACTTACAGGGCGGCCCTGTCCCACACCCAGATGTGAGTGAAGTCGCCGACGTGACGCTCCAAACCTGGTTTATGAGCAACAGATCTGCAGTGCTCCATACTGCAATTCCTTGCCTTCTTTGCTACCCTTCCCACGCTCGGTCTTGTTTTTGGTTGATTTGGTGGTCGCTGGAGCCCAGGAGACTACTTTCCCGAAAACCGTGATCGCTATGTGGTGGTGGCTGCCCTGCAGCTGATGTCCACCGGCGGCATGTCGGTGTCACCCGTGATCGGTGGCTGGATGGCGGAGACCCTTGGCTGGCGGATCTCCTTCTTGACCTTGTCGGTGCTTTGGGGCTTCCTAGGGTGCTTTGCCTTTGCTAGGCGGGTCATGACCGCTTGGCAAGAATTCAACTGTTCGTGAGATGTTGTGAGACGAAATATTGAAACTTTTAACTAATTACATCTATATATATCTATATAATTACTACTGCCATCGCGGGGGTTCGGGCAGAAGAACCGCACAAAAGACCCCGTGCTGCCAGAATGGTTGAGAGCTGCCCTGATGGGGAGAAAGACAGCTACTTCACTGGGATCTCCCGGATCTTCCGTTTCCGTTTGGTTTGCTTGCTAATGACCGAGACCTGCAACATGGCAGCCTTCATGACATTCTGGTCAAATATAAGCTATCTTACTGAAGTAAGCTATGGCCGCTCCGCAATGACATGTTCAGTGGCCATGCTGACATTTGGGGGCATGAATTTTCTTGGCTTATTTGTGATGGAACGTCTTCAGTTTGGCAGCGTGCTTCAAGCTGCCAAAATATCTGCATCTCTCTATGCTTCCACTGGGCTACTTCTCTTCATCGTTGGAAGTTTCTTCTCAAAGCTTTTCTGGGCCTACTTGCTGGGCACCTTCTTGCAGGCCTTTTTTTCGATTCTTGTGCCTCGGCATAGACGCCAACCCGAACTCGGAAGACGCTCTCCTGCAGAGGGGGATGGGGTCTTGCGAACCGTTCGGGTCGCGGTGGCTGTTTGGGGCGAAACGTTGGCTTCTTGGATTTTGGGTTGAACTTCTTGGTCACTTGGGACCTGCCAGAACAAGGAAGTTCAGTAGATTTAAGGTGATTCTTTGAGTGGATGGCTCAAGGAAGCTGCCTGTGGTGGATTTGTGCCCTGATTTCTCCCCAGCAGTTCTTGAGGTGCTGGTGACGGTGAATGTTTTATTCATGGAGCCCTTGCAGGAGACGACGCGGGTCGAGATGGGAGAGACGAGGGGAGAGGGGCACGCCACAGTGAATGGTGCCGATTCGCTCCTAAATTTACCTGCAAATTCCTGGAGGAATCTCATTGCTGCTGGAATAAGACAATTCATGCAAGTCATATCAAGGCATGTGTTCATGCATTCAATGTTCAGTTCATCCACTTGGTGCATGAGCATGGTCCGGTGTTTTGTTCGTTCTTAGAGTTCGGACAGGAAAGGCGTCGGTCAGATTCGGTAGGTAGGAAGAAGCAGCTCCGACTAGGTCAATTGCCTGTGCTTGTGACCAGGCCGACTAGGCTGCAGAGGAACCGGTCCCACAACGTTTGAGGGTCATCAACCCAACTGAGTGGAGGTATCCCGCTTTGCATGGTTCCACTGCTTGGAGGATTGCGCAGGCATGGCTGCCTCAGTGGAGATTTGTGCCAAGAGCATTTTGCCTTCGATCTATGGCGTGCTCTCGACACAAACATTGATCCACTCAGGCGATGGTCTCGTTTTGGGGACTTTTTCCGCCAGGGGATTGCAAGTAGGAACACGTACTATGACGTACATAGACCTCCCAATAGATAGAAGACTCTGTACATCCCCCTAACAATGTATTGGACACCGTGCACTATGAATTGGGGGACCACGTCCATGCGAAACGACGAAACGATGACGGACGTCGACACGTCGTCGCGATGGCGCGACGGACCGATGGCAGAGGGCGAAGGGTTGGACTGTTGGACCTTTGGTAAACGGTAAACATGGTGTGGTCAAGAACACACAGGGTACATACTTCCAGTGTGGGATGAATACCCTCATCCTCAACTTTAGTAAATTATTGCAGGGGTAGGGACACCTACCTAAAGTGTGTGTTGTTCAAACATCTAATTAACTGTTTCACTGTATGTCTAGGTATCCCCCCCAATTACTGACCGCAGGCGATAATTTCTTCTGACAACATGCATTTGTGAAACATAAATTGATAAATCCTTAGCTAAAGGTCCAAATAGTTATCATTCCCCAGCACCGAAAAAATTGAGAACATGTCTAGACTTGCAAAATATATATACCTAGATCTTCAGTCCGGCACTTTTACAGGGTCCGGCGCCGGACTTCCAACTCCGGCGTTTTTCTGGATTTGGTCCGGCGCTTTTTCCAAGTCACTTTATGTGGATTCTCAAGGCTTTGCATTCTTTGTGGTCTGCATTTCTTTGAAGGTAAACCCACTACTGATGCAATGATTTTGTTTGCAAAGTGTGCTCGTTTGCCTGTTCCGCTGTTTTCTCATTCCACCGGCTTCAGCATGGTTCACACTGGATCAATCAGATCCGTTTGGGTGATCTTCTATATGAAATCGGATGAAGCCGGTACAGTGCGATGCACCTGTTGAAAGACCCAAGTGGGTGTACCTAAGCTGAAAGAGCATAGGCAAAAATGTTCTCCCATTGTTTCAGGATGTCGGGGCGCTGGGATATAGTTCTAGCTGCGCAGGTTTGCAGAGCCTGCCGGACAAGTTTCGGGCTGTGGAACATGTGTTGTTCAGAATCTCAATGTTTGGCAGAGAGTTGTCAAAAAATTGCACGTCGTAACTCCGGCGTAATTTCCCGTAATTCCGGCGTAATTTCCCGTAACTCCGGCGTAATTTCCCGTACCTCCGGCGTATTTTTTTTTGGACAGTCTTCTGCAGGCTTTGATTGTGAACAGTTTTTCACAGAAAAGTTTTGACAGGAACCATGAGTTCTGCTACTACTTTATTGGGGGGCCGTCCTGAGGCAAGCTTTCATGAAACATTGAGAAGCATAAGAATCATGGAGAGCAGCCCACTTTGTAAAAAAACACTTTAGAGACACGGTTGCAGAGAAAGAGGGGTTCCTTGCCACGTACTCCTTGGTTTTTTCTTGGAAGTCTTTGCTTGGGCACAAGTTGCTTATATTGTGTGATGGTTTTGCTCTTAGGCCATTCGCAAGATGGGCGAGGGCAATGGGAACGGGAAGGTTCGAGTGCGCTCCAGAAAAACTACTCGCGGCGCAAAGGCAGTTTCCTTGTGTATGATCCAACCTTTTATCATCTCTGTTTTTCAGAATCTTGGATCCGGATGTTTTTTCAGGTCTCCGGCGTCTTTTTCGGAATCCGGCGGAAAATTTTGCCGGATTGAGGTCCGGCACCTTTTTTCCGCCCAAAGGAGGATCCAGGTATAGCTTCTACAATTTTAGGTCTCGGTACTCAACTTAATTTATATTCCAGAGGTGCTACCACATAGGACATAGGACCTTATCTAAGGTTGGATGTATGCGGGATGCATATTGATGTGGGCCTATCGGCCGAGCGTGACTCCTATAGAGACATGACATCCCAACCAAATACCCAAAACCTCTCTCCATGCCCATTCTTTGTTGTTTGTACATGTTTGTTTTTTGGGGGGGAGGCTTCGTGGGGACACCGGATTCACAGGTTTCTGCAACTTGGCGAAGCCGTTTCCAGATGTTCACCGATGCTTTTCGGTCGATTCTGTGAGGCCCTTGGGCCATGATCGACCTCCAGGCGGCTGCTCTGGTGGGTGCTGGGGTCTTCTTCTTCGGTAGTCTGGTGCCGTCCCAGGAAGCTCATGAAGATGCGCTGGAGACGCAGTGAGAGAAGAAAAGGTCCGCCGCAGGAGCGGACGGAGTCGACCTGGAGCGGATGGGGTAGTTGTTGGACCGGCCGGGGAAGTTCTTGGACCTCCTCAGGTTATGCTCTTGGAGCTGCCAGCGCCGTGGTGTGGCAAAGCCTCTATGGATATCAGACTCTTGGAGCTGGATTTCGACGTGCGGCGATGCCGCGAGAGAGTGCAACAGGCATCTCCGCCCTTGAACCTGTACCTGGACCCTCCTGTCCGGGTGTCCTGGCTGGACTACCCCAGCCCCAACCGGCCTAGGCTTCCAGACAGGGCAATCCATGTTGACCGCCTTCTGACTTCGTGTGGACGTGAAGAAACCCGGTGGACGTCGCCAGTCCGTGCAGTCCGTGCGTTTTGGTGAACCATGGATCCAATATATCACAGAGCCCCAGCACCTCTTGACGAGCATGGATTGGTCAGAAAAACGCATGTTTTTACGCATACTGCTCGTGATTTGGCCATTGCATTCCGAGCATGCTGGTCCAGGTGTCACTAATAGATGCATGATGCTACATGTGGTACTTTTTTGGGGTACGCAAAGGCACAGCGGGGCAATCCAACGAAGTCCAGGTCGAACTCTTCATCGCAGAGCCGTTTTGGTCGCGTGCTGCCTCGCTTCCGGCGTCCAATAACCCACAGAGCTGGAATGTCGAGATCCCCACCTGGTGAGATCCGTCGTAGCTGGAATGTCGTACTGTGTACATCCGTGTGCATATTGTTCATGAATATTGTGAAGATAAAGTTATACTATCTAATCATGCTATATATAATATTATACGTGCACATGTGTGTGTAGGCGCAACCAGAACATCGTCATGTTCTTCCAACCACAATATGGCTCCAAAACGAATCTGAAGAGGGTAGGTTTTACAAGGCTGAGGGTCCGGCTGAGGGTCCTTCCTCACTTGACTCCATTGCTGCTGCGGAGCCTTCAAGGGGCCACCGTGCTCGCTGGAGGGCTGTGACCCGGCGGAAGACCGGGTGGTTTTGGGCGATGGCGGCGGCCACCCGGGGTGGGTCAGATGCCACTGAGGTCATCCACTTTCGGCATTCTAGCGAGTAGACTGGTGGACTTGTGTTGTCGTAGAAATAAATGTCGTCAACCATTTTTGCACATGTGTTCATCCTTTCTCCTTGGAATTTGGTACTCTTTTTGAAGTACCACAGCTGCTCAGACCTTGGAATTTGGGACTGTGGTGAAGTACCGCCTTGCGGTTCCATAGGCCGACCCTCTTGAGTCACATGGGCCACGGTTCCAGGGTCTTAGTGGAGTGAATCGCCCAAACCCGCATGGGCCATGCGCATAGGTGGATGCGCATACGAAGTAAGGACTTGGTGGCTTGCTAGGTGGATGGAACCCCAATTTTCAGATGATCCTGACTCTCCAAGCAGGTGCAACAGAACATGGTGGGCCTGCAAGTTTGCGTTCTGTGATGCTCTAGATTCATTGGAGAAAGGGATGAGAATTGGAGAATGTCCATGAGGATTTGTAAGAACGTTTGCAATTTTTGTCTCTTGCATCCTCAGTCTTGCCATTCTTACACCATTTGCCAAAGAATAACCCCAGGAAACAGATGGACACAGGACAAACGGCAAACACGACATGCAGCTGATACCTTTGGATGCCGGAGCAGCACTGTCCGCTTCGATGAGGTTTGCCGTGAAGGTCCTGTCAGATGTGGCGAAAGATCACCGGAGAGAGTAGATGCTTCTGTGTCCAGCGAGCCGCCGTCCAATCCGGAAAACGAGGCCCCCGGAAAACAAGACGCTCAGTTGCCTGTTCGATGTTCTGGAATTGCACAGCCGATGGGCTGCATGAGTGGGTTTCACCCTGAATGGCTGCCGATGCTATGGCCACGTTTCGATGGAGGTCGTTCGATCACCAAACCAGCCGTGATGGGGAGACAGAGTGAGAGAGAGAGATATATATATATATAGAGGAAAAGGAGAAGGGTGGCATTCGCAGAAAGAGCCTTGCATGATTCTATGCCTATGCCTTGCAAGTTTCCTTGCCCTTCGTCCGCAGGCGGCTGGAGCATCAACCCAGAGCGGCCAAAAAAGTGTTGATGCCGTGTGTTGGAGACGGGCTGCCATACGTCATCATGACTTCGACGAATCGGTTTTGGGGGAAGATCGAGGACTTCGTCGTAGCGAACTGACAAGGTGGAGATAGAAGATTGCAGATGTTCGGATTCCACCGTTGCATTCCGTTGCGTATTTGCTCATCTTTTGGGTTACAACGTTGTGCTTGGGTCCTCTCAGAGCACGACCACCTCCGCCACACGACCCCTTCGGCGGAACAGCCAGCGGCCGAGGCCCCACGGCGACTGGTATGGGGTGCTGGCGCTCAGAAGGGATTTGGGCGTCGTCTCTGGAGCGCAGCTGAGTTCTTCAGCCCGGTTCCACTGCTTTCCACTGTTCATCGCTCAGGCTTCTCAGCTCCTTCAACGCTGAGGTGGGGATGCGGAGGGTTGATGCTTTCAGGATGCTTTGGTGCCCACATCGAGGCGCCTGCACCACCGGAGTCTCCGTGTGGAGCGCACCGTCGCGCGCGCGCGCGACCGCGCGACCGCGCGGAGAGTTGCCAGGGCAAAGGCGTGGAGTCTGAGAGTCTTGGTGTGGAGCCCTGGCACGGGGGCGGGCCCCTGGGACGAAAGCGAGGCGTCCAAGAAGGACAGTGAGGCGATTTCAGGGTTGAGAGGTGATCTCAGGATAATCATGTATCCGATGTATCACCAGCTATCCATGTTCTTGGGAAAGCCATCCTGGATACAATTATTGTGGCTTGACCCCAACAGAAGCGAAGTGCTTTCCCTTTTTGCACGGAGTCAGGTGCGACAAAGTCAGCTGGGCCAGCAGAATATGTGCCAGCCGGAGCCTGAAACGACGCCGACGGTGGACCAAGTAGTCACGGCAGTGCTTCGATCGTCGATCTGAGAGGGGGAGCTATGTTGACTCTGTCAAGGCGCTTTGGAGTGTAGACATCTCCTACTCTTTTTTTCCCACTTTTTTCTACAGTGGCCATCCTAATCTACTTTTGGACACTCGTGAGCTATATTGTATGTGATTGTCTAGGTGCAGTTTATATATCATCATTTGTTTATTGACCTGCATGGGCGGCCACATGTGGGTATATGATGAGACTCTGGCTCACTTCGGGATATGGAAAGGTGACACAACACTACCACTATCGAGTCTATAGTCATCTATACTCCCTGTTCATTTTCTATGGCGGACATTGGCAATAAGTACACACAAATCAACCAAAGAAGGGCCGCTCATCATCCGCAACAGGAAAAGCTACTTATGATATTAGTTGAACCGTTTCGCCTTCATGCAGGCAATCATGAGATTCAGGGATTCTGTCCCTGAACCGAATGTGAACATTCCATGCAAGCAACTTGTTTCATTGAATGAGTTTTCTGAGCTCAAAAGGTTTTCCACCAGCCTCCGACCTTCCATCCTCACTGGCCGAGGCGCTTGGAGATGAGCCGGAGCTCAAGAAGGTCCGGGGCCCTGGAGAACTGAGGCCTTCGGAAGGCTCGGAGTCCCAGCCGATGAGTCGGCTCGCTGGTCACCGTGAATCGAATCACTTGATGGCAAACATTTTTTTGTTGGTTTCTTTTTTCTGAAGAGCCGGGGAGTTGATTTCTGAAGAGCCGAGGAGTTGATTTCTGAAGTGCCAAACCATTTTTCCTGATTTTTCCTCTGATTCAACAGTGGCAGCATCCCGATAGATAGATTCCGCCCTTGACCATGGTGCTGAGGCGGAATGGGTGGGTGACCATGGAACTAAAGTCAATACGGACAAGTGAGTTGTTTTTTTTTCCAGGAACTGTTGTGAGTTGAGATCTCCTTGTCGTCCTTGTGATCGCATTGGAGTTACAAGTTAAACCTGCTTCGAATCACACTGGAACTCCATCATTATGGCTGAAGTGTGTGGTTAGAAGAGGGGTACAACCAGTGACATGAATAGGTCCAAGATGGTCAGGGTCCCTCAAGATGTCAGCTTCAACAATCACAGCGCGACCAGATTTGTTGAGAACAGGACGCGGCTCGCTGGGGCTCACTAAAATGGAAGTGGATGGCAGGTCCCTTTGGAAGACTGCTATGCTGAATGCTATATGAAAAGAATTGTAGAATGTGTTCCACTTCTATGTTTTAGTGGGTCCCGTGTAGTCCGTGTAGTGTTCTTGTTTGCCATAGTCAATAATAAAAGCCATTTGGCCTTCGCCCTGACAATTCATGTGGCTAGGCAGGGTCCTGCCAGAGCTTGGACGGCCCGGATCCTGCTGCGTTGCAAGAGGCCGGCGGATTGTGGGTGACTCCTTCCATCCCAAGACAGGTGAAGATCGTATGCAATACATTTCAGTATGCATGTCTCGAAACCTGGTGAAGAGTGTCCAAGGCAACCCCCACTTGGAAGGTGCACTTTGTCCTTTGTAGCTCTGGGCCCCTCACCGTGAATGAAGCTTGTGAACCAGCATCCATGTCCATGCACGGGCACTTATGTATGCACGGGCACTTATGTAAGACACCTCAACGGTGTGAATGGTGCACGCTGTGGCAGAGTTCGGCTTCCCAGCATGTGTGGCTTCGCAACTTGCGGACCATCCCGTGGGCCCCCCCCGTCACAGGAGCGGTCGTGGCGACCCCCACGTTTGCCGTTCTTTGGGGTTTGATCGAAGACTCACGACGTGGTCCATGCGTCGCTGCTCCCAACCCAAGCTGCCAATAGACTCAGACTAGCTGCGGGTGCAGCTGAACTGATGTAGAGGACCATAGGTCCATAATATGCGTCCCAGATGTACCTATGATGGCCTACCACGTCAGGAGATGGAGCTCATGTGGAAAAAGTGTCTCACTCAGTTGGCCCACGACAGACTTCCGGGGACTCTGGGGCCCAGGTGCTACGAGAGTGTGGTTTACTTTGCGTGAGGCATGCATGCAATGAGTTCAGGTAGAGGATGGATCATGCAGTGGTGGTTTACATACATCCTGGATCGGGCCTGGTGGCTACGCAACTTGTTCGAAACTTGTGCCTGGTGGTCACCTTGGATGCCCTCCATCCCAAGTGTTTTTTTGAATCCACC